CACAAAGGGAGCTGCCTGCCTGCTCATGCTCAGGGAGGGGATGTCCCCAGTTCCAGGGTAAGCTGGCTGGGATCAGTCCCAGCAGCCAGGAACTGAACACCTGCTCCAGGCCATATCCAATGGTGATGGGTTCTGTATCTTCCCGGGGAAGGGAAGTGCACAGGGGCATGGCACCCCGCCCTTTCGGCTGGGTAAGGCCCCCTTCCCACCTCTGCTCCCACTGGCCCCTCACCCCATGTCTGCTCTACTCACACCAACCAGCTGTGTCTGGCACCTCCACTCTTACCTAATAAAGTGTTGCTTGCTAGCCCAGTATTCTGGCTTCAGGAGAGGGGGGGGAGCCAGGCGCAGCAGCGTTGGCTCAGCCCCTGCCCGCTGGTTCCACCTGCCCATCTTGCTTCAGGCTGTCATGCCCTTAGTGGGGTGGCACTCTTGTTGAGGTGCTCCAGGAGATGCGTGGTAGGGGGAAGCTGTGTTGTCTATGTGGTGGGCGCAGTCACAGGACCACAAGCCTAGCCGGGGTGCACTCAGGCCCCTGCAGGGGTGGAATTAAGGCAGGTGGCAGTGCGGGAGGCAGTGATAGTGCTAGAGTGCACTGGCCGAGGGAGCGCAGGAAGTCCTGCCCCTCACCTGCAGCGGGGGCTGCCTATCCCTGAGGCTCCAGCTGCTCAGTGGGGGGAGATCTCAGGCTGCCGGACTGTGCTTCCAGGACTCTGCTCTCCCCCTCCACCCAAGGGGCCCGCTCTGGCTGAGCAACGCTACATGAAGGGCAGCCAGTCCCGCCTGGGATTAACAAGCCAGCTGGCCAGGAGACACTAAACCCCTTTTATTGAGTAACCACAAGGAACAAAGAACCAAGGGCCAGTGTGCACGGGGAGCGGGGCAATGCCCAACGTGCAGCTTCCAGCTCAGGTGGGACAATTATCATGAGGGAGGGGGGATTGTGGCACGTGGTCGCTGGGGGTAGAGAGAGACGAAGTGTGAGTGTGAAAGAGACAATGTGCGTGTGAGTGACACAGCGCGCGTGCACTGGCTGCTGCTGGGTACGATTCCGAGAGAAGTCACGGGCTGTCTCAAAGGGAAACCTCCCGAGTCACTTACCATCCATGCGTCAGCCCAGAGCAGCTCTACTGTGGCCCCCCTTGCTCTGCAGAGATGGCAGGCCGGGGGACACCCTGACTTCAGCGCTCCCTGAAATTGCAGGAGAATCCTGGGAGCAGCTGGGCTGAGGGACAGAGCAAGGTGGGGGGGGGGAGAGAACAGCTGGACGCAGGCTGCCAGCTGTAAGCATGCATGCTCTACTAATCAGCTGGGCAGGCCAGAGAGAAATGCTTGGCAGGCTGGATCCAGCCCCCAGGCCTGATTTGCCCAGCCCTGTTCCAGCTTGTAACAACCCAGCAGCCATCTGTGGTTGGCTGGCCCTCCTTGTCTCTCGCTGCCCATAGGAATGTGTTCAGATGCTGCCCTTTCCTTGGGGCTTCTGCCTGCAAGCAGGATCCAGCTCCCGGGCCTGGTGATAAGCCAGCCGCTATGAAGGATGTGACCGTCCGTGGGTGGAGGAGGGTGCAGGATTAATACGGCCTCTGCCCTGGTACAAAGAAGACAGACCAGCCTGTCCCTAGAGCACGTCTCCAGCAGCTGCATTTGAACGGGAGTTCGGGGAACCACCTCCTTCTCCGAGGCAGCGCTGGACCTCCCAGCCTGAGAATACCGACAGGGCAAGAGAAGCTTGTGGTGCGTCCGCTTGGGGTCCCGCAGCAGCTGCTTACAAATCCTCCATCCGCTCCCAGCACCTTCCCATCCTCCGCTTTGGATGTTCCCGCAGCTTTGAAGCCTTCAAGAGAAGAACAGAGACGGAGGCTGGATCCAGGGCAGTGGGCAGGAGAAAGGCTTTCAGGGGGCTTTGGGCATGAGCTCAAACAGGAAAAACGACACTTCTCAGGGATCAGCTCCTGGGACTGGCGTGGCGGCTCAGGGGGAGCAGAAGCCTTCCAGGGTGAGAGTAGAGCCGTGGCTGGGGAGCCTGGCCTCTCTCCTGGCATGGAACTGGGAAAACTGGCTCCAGTCTGTTGCAAGCAAACCTGAGACTCCTGGGCTAGACAGAGAAGCAGGGCAGTCCCTTATGCTTTGGCCTCTAGTCTTGTCCCCATGACAACCCCCTGCCAGCTGTGACAATCACAGCCCAGGAGGGGGTAGTGCTGCGGGTGAGGAGCATGCACAGGGCCGCGGCAGCGGCACTGGCAGAGCTGGGATGGGGCTTGTGCCCTTCACTCTCCTGAGCCCCCGGCTCGAGACGCTTAGCGGCCCGTCGGGTGACGGGGTCCCTGCTGGTCCGTCGCCAGGGCCCGGCAATGGTTCTTACCCGGCGGGATGTGCCGCCTCAGGGCTTGCTGCGCTTGGCCTGGCTCTCCGCGCCGCCGGGAGCAGCTCTCTTGTTGCGATGGTGGGGGAAGGTGGGCATGAGCTCCGGCTCACAGGCTGGAGAGAAGGGGAGAGGGACTGAGTCTCAGGAGCGCCGGCTCACTCTCAGGAGCGGCTGACTCTGAGCCGCACAGGGAGTCACTTACGCAAGGGCTTTTCTTTGAAGTAGGAGCTCTCCAGGCAGTCTCCTGCCGTCGCCCTGGGGAGGCAACACAGGGGATAGGAAAAGTCCATCATCTCCCACAAACACCCCCTCAGGAAACCCCTGTGAGTGCGACCTTCCCATCATGCTATGCCCTGCCGGCCTGCTGCTTTCCTGGCTAAAGCGCAGTATCTCCCATGCTGGGCTCTTTCAGCATAATCCCCGAGGCCCTGCCTGCCCGACGGCATCTGACCCGTGCTACCCTGTCCCACAGCAATTAAACAGGAACTGGTACCCTGCCCCCTCTCGCATAGCTGGCCTTGCGCTTTGCCTTGATCTGCTCAAGCCTCGGGAAGCAGCTGGCTACAACGTAAATGAGCCCCCAGCTGGGGCTTCCTGGAAGCTGACAGCTCTCCACACATTGCAGCCTGCCCTGGCAGGAGCCGCACCCACCCCACACACTGCAGAGCCCAGGCCCATCGCGCCATGGCCCGTGCTGGGCTGCAGGTGGCTCTTTACCTCTTCTTGGGGTCGTACATGAAGAGGAAGTTGAGCAGGCGCAGCCCAGCCTCCGACAGCCACGGAAACTTGTGCTTGAGGTTGTTGTACGGCTGTTTCCGCAGGGTGTACTGGCTCACCAGGGGCAGCTTGGAAAAGCCCTGAGGGGAGAGGGAAGCGCAGGTCAGGGTCAGGGAAAGGCGTGGCAGGGCAGGGCATGCATAGCGAGCACTTACCGGCCAGATGTTTTCATTGGGCGTCCCTAGCAGCTGCACTATCAGGTCGATCTGCTGGATCTCCGAGCTGCCTGGGAGTAATGGCTTGTGGGCCAGCAATTCCGCGAGGATACATCCCACTGCCCTGGGGAAAGAACAGGCCTCCTGGGTTAGTGGGAAGCAGGCAGACAAATCCCCCGCATCAGACTCCTCTGCCCCCAGCAGCAGACCCTTCTGTTGCTGTGGGCGCACCTTGGCCCGGACTCCGCGGAAGACCATGATGCCGATGTGCACAGTGCTTCCGGAAGTCCTGAGCTCTCGCCCTGACCCCTGTCAGTCCCATGGCCGTCCCCCAGCAAGTGCTGCACATTCCCGGCAAGAGCGTTCCTCTCCAATATGAGATCCCCTTACCACATATCTATGCCCGTGGTCTGGGTTGTCGTTCCCAGCAGCAGCTCCGGGGCTCGGTACCTGCACGACATAAGCAAAGGACAGAAGCTACTCAGAGAGGGACCACGCTGCTTTCAGGCAGCCAGGCCCAACGCCGGGACAGCGAGGTACCACAGCTGGGGACATGCACCAGCACAAGAGGGACAGGTCAGAGCCAGAAGTCTGCTTCTGCACGCGGGCCGTGCGATACGAAGGGAGCAGGTTACAGGCACCTGATTCACACTAGCCTCAAGCAACTGAGCATGAACCCACCGTGTGACGCTATAGCAAAAAGTGCTAATGTGAGCCTCGGGGGTACACATAGGGAGAAGCGAAAGGGAAGCTAATCTTGCCTCTGTGCAGTATTAGTGAGACCAAGACCAGCCTTTTGCACCCAGGTCACTTTTTCACAGGATGCTGAAACACTGGAGAGTGCAGAAGTCACAAAAACAACTTGAGGACTGGAGAAAATGCCTTGCAATGAGGGGCTTACAAAGCTTGATCTGTTCAGTTTATCTCAGGGTGCTCACCCCCCCCCATTCTCAGCACTGCTGCCTGGATGGTTTCTCAGACAGCTCTGAATGGGGGACAGGCCCATGTGCCCCAATAGCACTGGGAGGGGCGTGTGGCGTCCTAGGGCCAGAGTTTCGGAAGAAGTGACAGCCTGAGGATTGCGGTGTGATGGAAGGCGCTGAACTCACGGTTGATGTGAAGAGGTCAGGGACCAGAGCCCCCAGGAGAGGAAGCCTTGCAGGAATTACAAATTGGTGGGGCTCCCAAAACATGTCCCAGATGCTTCCCAGTCTGGGTGTCTCGGTCACCTAGACTGACTGTAGGTCTCACCCACAGGGTTCACAGTAGGGTGACTCACCCAGGACTAGGCACAGCCTACTCACCAGAGGGTGACGACTTTAGGCGTCATTGGTTTTAGTGGTACCCCATGAGCCCGAGCTAGCCCAAAATCCGCTGCAAAAGAGAAGATTCAAGGTCAAAAAGCAGGCCAGCTACTGCCCATGCCTCTGCATTACAAAGTGAGGAGAGAGCCAGAGCATCTGTGGAGTAGGGATGTGAATGGTTAACGGGTGATTCTTACCGGTTCCAGTTAACCAGCTGGGCTGGAGCGGCCCCCTGCCCACCCACCCCTTTAATAAGTAAACCAGTTACACGTCATGTTGAACCAGTTAACCAATTCAATGGGATTTTACATCCCTACTGTGGAGCTGTGTTAGCAAAGGGGACAAGCAGTCATGAGGGACGCTCACCTATCTTCACGCAGCCTTTGTCAGTCATGAGCAGGTTAGACACTTTTAGATCCCTGCATCAGAAAGAAGCCAGTTACTGATGTTGTGTTAGGCCATTCCGTGCCGGTCAAGAGGGTCTCCCACTGCCCCACTGAGAGCCAAGTGTGACAGGGCATTTGCCCTGCACTGGCCTTTTAAGGGCAAAACACCAGCCCTGAGTGAGGGCTGCAAGCCAAGCCCCAGCTGAGGCAGTTCTGCTAACGAGAGCCCAGCTGGGGGTTATGTAAAGAGGGACTCCTGGAGAAGGGGGGAGAGAAAACTTGCTGCTCTGGACAGAGCAGTAGGGCCCTGACTTCCAGGGAAGCGGGTGGTTTCCTGGAGGTAGAGCAGTGCTGGGGAAGGAAGGCAGGGCTGGGGAGGCTCTGGCCAAGCAAGTTCCCAGGCTACAGGCCTGAAGCTACTGGGGCGGCAAAGGGCAGCCATGGTAGGCAGGGGCAGCGGGTCCACACCCCTTGGCCAGTGATGAGTGGCCATGACAGACTGCAATTTGCCCCTGAGGCGGGGGCTAGATGGAGACTGGCAGTGGGTCACTGAGGCAAGGTGGGTCGGTCCAGGGGAACTGGGTGTTCCCTTGGAGGAGAACAGGGTGCCCTGGGGAAAGGAGGATAAACACCCACCCCCAGAAGGGGGGGCTCAGACACTGGCATAGGCATTGCTGGAGGGCAGCATCCTGAAGAGAACACCATGGTCAAAGAGAAACCCGGGGAGACACCAGCCTGCTAGAGGGAGGCGTCCAGCGAGCCAAACCAGCTAATTCCCAGGACTGCCGGCAGGAGGTGCTATGGTGGTGAGCATACCAAGCTAACAGCCCAAGTGGCACAACTAGCTCCCAATGTCTAGTCTGTTACCCAGTGGACCCTCCTCCCCATACAATCTCTTTACCCACAGGGCCTTTCGCTCTGCCCTTACCTATGGATGATGAAGTTCTCATGAAGATACTGAAGGCCCTTGAGTACCTGTAAGATGATACACTTCACCTGTGAACGTAGGGAGACACGGTTAGCAAGACAGCATCCCATTACCACTTCACCTGTATCTGCACAGATACCTGCCCACATCCCCCTGGTATCTTAGTGCCTTCCAGTCGGGCATTAAGCAATGTGACTAGCAGTTGCTGATAGCTTATGTCCTGGTTCATTTTGTGCAGAAGCTCAAGGCCATGGCAAAGCTATGCACCCTAGTCTGGAGCTCATGGCCCAAAGCATTGTAGCAAAGGGGTGGTCTATCTGCAGGGATGCTCACAGGGTTTAACGCAGGCAACAGGCAATGCCCCATATCACTGAGAGCCGGGGGGAGTGATTATTCTAGCCCAGTGGTCTCCAACCTTTTTAAGCACGAGATCACTTTTTGAATTTAAGTGCAATCCAAGATCTACTTCAATATAAATACCCTTGTCCCTTCTCCGAAGCCCCACCCCTGCTCACTCCACCCTCCCTCTCTTGCCCATCCTCCCTCACTTTCATCAGGCTAGGGTAGAGGGTTGGGGTGCAGGCTCTGGTCTTGGATTAAGGGATCTGGAGTGCAAGAGGGGCTCTGAGCTGCTCTTGGGGCAAGCAGTTGGGATGTAGGGGGGGTTCTAGGTGCAGGCTCTGGGACAGTGTTTGGATGCAGGGGTGCTCGGGGCTTGGAGTGCAGGAGGGGGTTAATGACTGGGGTAAGAGTTCACGCTGGGGGCTCCAGCAGGGTCCTGCCTATCTCTGCTCCTGGGGTGGTGGTGCAGTGGGGCTCAGGCAGGCTCACCCCTGCCCTGGCCCTGTACCACTCTCAAAAGCAACCAGCAAATTTTCTCCATCCCAAGTCCTGTTGTGCCCCCTCTCTGCTCCGCGGAGAAAGGATACAGAGTGGGAGGGGGCACCCTGACATCAGCATCCTCCTGTCCCTTCCCTACCCTGCACAGAAAGCAGGAGGCTCCTCAAGGGAAGGGGCAGATCCAAGGCAAAGGGCAGGAGATGCACAGCAGTGTGAGGAAGGGCAGTCGAAGTGCCAGCACTTGGCAGCCTCTTGGCCAAACCAGTCAGGATCACCTGCCAGCGGCTCCAAGATCTACCAGTCGATCCCGATCGACTGGTTGGTGACCACTGTTCTAGCCAATGCAAGGCAGGAAACAGAGGCTGCCAAGTTATGATTAACTCAAGTCCCGTGACCTGATGACTGACAGCCAATTTACAGACTGGCGCTGTCTCCCAGCAACCACCACCAACTCCCCCAAGCACTGGACGCTACCGACGCAAACGGCCGCCATGCCCTGGGCCAACACCTACGAGACAATGCTGCAACAACAATTGGAGACACACTGGAATCTGGATCCTCGGTGGTAGCCTGCTTGCATTGGTTAGAGCCACAGCACTCTCTTGCTGCGGGGAGTGGTAATGCACCGGCACAAGGACTTTTACCTGCGCCTCAGAAAAGGGCGTCTGCATGTTCTCGAGAAGGCTGGCGAGATCCTGTTCACAGTAACCCATCACCAGGAAAATACTGCAGGAGACACACACCAGGGTCAGTCGCCTCGCTGCAGTTCCACTGTGCTGACCACCCCACCGGTCACCCAACTACCATTCCTGCCAAGGGCAGGGAGAGTACTGTGCCACATGGCATGAATGGGGTAGGGAAGAGAGGACATATCACCTCCTCTGTAAGGGAGGGCAGGTGCAGGGCCAAGTACTATGGGACTGTCACCTCTCCAGATGGTTTCCCACAACAACCTCCTTCAACTCCACGATATTGGGGTGCCGTAGCTTCAGAAGCAGGGTGATTTCCCGCAGGCTGCTGATGGGGATTCCTGCAGAGAATGGCATGAGTCCCACATTAGAACTCCCCCTTGAACCCTAGAACTCCCCCTTGAATCCCCTGATCTGAGGCCCTGATATGGCTGTGCTGTGCAAACCACATTTCTGAAGAAGGGCTTTAAGAGAGCCCTCCCACCTCTAAAATCCCAGCTTTAGCACAGAGCTTGCTAGGAAGAGCAACTTCCCTGCTCCTCTCCTCTTACCATCTTTCTCCTTGTCCATCCGCACCTTCTTTAGTGCCACAATCTCATCCGTCTGGGTATCTCGAGCACGGTCTGAAACCGTAACACACACCATATGGTCAGGAAACACCAAACTGCCTCACAGCAAAGGCAATGCCTGACCCACCATAGTCAATGGTTCACTTGGTGACCAGTGTCAGTTAGGGATGTGACAGCATACAGGTGTAGACAGTTAACCGATGAGCCTGGGCTCGTTGGTTAATCTTCACAGTTACATGCAGGGCTCCCTGCCATGCTGCTGCCTCTGTATCAGAGGCAGCAGCACAGGGGAGCGGGGGAAGGAGACAGGTAGGAGCTGGTGCTCATGGGGAGCCCATCAGAGGCAACAGCCTAGGGGGCGGGGAGACAGGCAGCTCCGTGGGAGTCAGTGTTCAGGGGGAGCTGCCTGCCCTCCACCCTTGCGTGAAAAATTCAGTGCTTACACGTTTACCTGAACACACACATTTTAACATCTCTATTGACCATCACCTCGACACTGGGGGGGCTTATGGTGAATCCTCCCCCCAACTGATGTCTTCATCAGTGCGAAACAGACAAGATCCTGAAAAACGGGTGTAGCTGCCCTTCCACCTGTGCCACTGAGTATTTTCCAGTCATGAGACATTGGGCCATGAGATGTTGCTGTCAGCACCCCCCTCTCTCACACACACACTCTGCTGGAAGCAAACTGGCTCCTGCTACTGAAGCCTGCAGCACTTACACACGATGCCATAGGTCCCTTCCCCAATTCGATTCAGCTTCTCAAACTCCTTCACGCTCCGGCACCTTCCCAGCTGAAAGCAGAGAGCCATCATGTCAGACCAGCCACCTCTGCATCACAGCCCTTCTGGGCCTCCTCTCCAGAGCAGCCTGGGGGCAGCATTCAGTGATTAAGGCTTATGGTTTTCATTGTGAAGTTAGTTTTATCTGGCACTCCCCAGAAGCTGGACTAAGTCACTGCTGCTAGACTGGCGCACAGCTTGGAACAGCCACATGATAGAGACACTGCTGGAAGGTGCTCAGCTCCTAGAGCGACAATGAGCATAGTCTAAGCACTATAGGCTAGCACAGCTATGGGACAGCATTTTAGTGGCAAATGTAAAAGCTTTAGAAAGGCCCAGGGCATCATACACTAATTCTGTGCTTGTAGCAACACTCACAGGACCATTAGGCTATGTATACATTGGCAAGATTTTGCCCAAAAGTGCCTGCTTTTGCACAAAATCTTGCCGCCTGTCGCACTGTACGAAATCAGTGCTTCTTGCACAAATACTCTGATGCGCCCGCTCAGGGATAAGTCCTCTTGAGCAAGTGTTCTTGCGCAAGAGGCCAGTGTAGACAGGTAACATCAATTTCTTGCACAAGAAAGCCCAATGGCTAAAATGGCCATCGGAGCTTTCTTGCGCAAGACAGTGTCTACACTGGCACGGATGCTTTTGCGCAAAAGCAAATCTTTTGCACAAAGGCACCTGCCAGTATAGACGCTCTCTTGCGCAAATACTTTTAACGGAAAAACTTTTCTGTTAAAAGTATTTGCGCAAAATCATGCCGGTGTAGACGCAGCCTTGCGTTAAAGAGTATTTGTGCAAAATCTTGCCAATATAGATGTAGTCCACCTGTTCGGACACTGGAACAGCGCCACTGATTTGCTTTGTGAAACGTGAACGCAATCTGCCACTCACCAGCTACCCCTGGGCTGTGCCCAGCATCTGGCCAGCTGTTCACAAGTCGGTCTGCAAGCACACCCCTCCCTCATTCCTGTGCAGCGTTTCCACCCCTGCGCGTGCCACGGGAACTGAATCCATGAGCAGACTTCTGCCTGTAGGTCTGCACCTGTCCCCGTGCGGGTCACCCCACACCCAGGGGCTGCAGATGCAAAGTGCATCCA